AAAAAAAAAATATAATATAATATATATATATATATATATATATATATATATATATATAAAATCTGTCAATTCTCTTCTCATTTCTCAAATATCTTCAAAACTTAGTTTAATTCAATGTGCTGCTTGCAGTTTTGGTGCAATTTGTTACATTCACTTTTAATTGAAACTCATTTAAAGCAGGGAGTAAACACACAGCCCAACAATCATATCAAAAGCATGCATGCCTTCTAGAGCAGTTTTTATTAGAAACGGCACAACTGTCAGTTTCGCCTGGCCATTAATGAAGAGGATTCACGAGGATCATTAGGGGAAACCACTGAGAGTTGCTCCATTTCATACATGGTTGTTATTGTTTACCTTTTTTTGGCTGTGCCTCTCCGTTTCCTGAAAGCAGATAGGAGGCCTCAGTATGTGTTAAGTGAAAGGAAGAGGCTCCCTTACATGTTTTGTCTAATGTCAAAACAGGATGTGCAGCTTTACCATAAAAAATGTATGTATAGATAGTAATAATAGATAGTAGAATAACTTAATAAATGGCTATATTCACATTAATTATACATGATTAATTCATACTTCGATTAATAAAAATCTTCTACACCATATAGCACCTTAACCACTCCAAAGCCCCCATTGAGCCCCTGTACAGTCCTTGAAAGGTTCCCAAACTATTTTGGTTTAGTTGGGTAAAGGGTTAAAAAAAACCCGTTAATGTTTAAATTACGCTGAAAGAGGAATATCTGCAAGATATATATTTTAGAGTTTCCAATCAAATGTCAAATAGATGCTTAGAAAATGTCTTTAAGCTCTTTCTGATTTAGAATGCATGTAAAACGTTCTATCAGAAGTTCGTACACAGCAGATGCTTTCCAGATAAAGCGATCTTTAACAGACATCTTGCAGACGTAGGTGCGCTATCTGGGATTGGAGGATGAGAGAAAGCTAAAACCTGATTGGCTGTTGTCTCTGAATGAATGTGTAAACTGATAAGAGGCTAGACAGTAGGTCCAGGAGCTGTTTGTGAAGTCAGTCATATACTGAAATTGTGACCCATTTCAATAAAAAGGGCTATGGGACTCATTCACGAAACTTGCAGAAATAAAGTAATTTGCCATTAAACAGACAACCCCGAAAACGCTCCTCCGGATTAACAAACACTTCGTAAACAGCATATTTGATATCTAAATGTGTATATTACTGAATTCCAATAATTTATAAAAAGGGCACGCATGCATGCTCATTCACAATTAGCGTAATCCCTGCGTATAAATTATAATTACGCAAATTGCATGTCCAGGAACGCTGTGGAATCTTTTGTGCTCCCTTCTCAGGTTTGTGAAATATTCACTTGTGAAATATTATATAGTGCATCAAAATGCAGTGTCATCAGTTGTCCAAAAGCAACTAAACGTTTTACGCACTGTTTACATGTGGTAGGGATCAGGGCCCGTATTCACAAAGCATTTTATTTTACCACTAAGAGTTATCCTAAATCGCAGTAAAAGTTTAGCTAAGAGTTCTCTTAAAACCTATTCCCAAAAGCTGCGGAGACAAACTTTTACTAAGGAATAGAGAGAAGTCTTAAGCTAAGAGTAAGGGGGCGGTTGACTTCGTTGCTATGGATGATGTCAGCATACTTATTAACTATGCACACAGTGATTGGCTGATAGTCTGTCAGATTTATTCATAGAAATATTGTAGAGCGCGATATTATGTTGCCACATTCAAATAAAGATTTTAAAATGCAGGCCAAGTGTCACTAATTAAACAAGTATATTCAGCTAATTGTCAGCCTCTTATATGCATGCTTCTCGTAAACAATTAGACAAAATGCATCTAAACAGCCTTTTAATTAACGGAGTAGAATAATCATGGCTGATAGTAAGACATGCAAACATAAGAAAACCATCTAATATATATATATATATATATATATATATATATAGAGTAGAATAATCATGGCTGATAGTAAGACATGCAAACATAAAAGAAAACCATCTATATATATAATGAAAGAACATCTATATATTAAGGATATAATAAAAACAATTTGGAGTTGGGATAACCTCCAAACCAAAGCCGATACCTTTTTAAAAGCTCATTGTCAAATGTTTCTAAAGTGTTCATATTCCGAGGCAGTTTGCTGGCAACAGCCATTTTAGGATAGTTCAGATTTGGTCTCAGTGATTTAGGAGTCCTCTTCACTACTCCTAACGTGTCACAGATTTAGGAGCTAGTTTTAGCGCTAAAACGCTTTGTGAAATACCCTTAGAACAAATGTAGGAGTCCTAAATTTAGGATTGACACGCCCATTATTTTTTAAGATTTTCTCCTAAATCGGCGAGTTATGAGCTACTTTTAGCCTTAAGATGTTTTGTGAATATTGGCCCAGGTGTACATTTTTTTTTCCGTACCAACAATATGAACATTTCATAAATTCAAAAGTTTACGTCAGAATAGCTTTACGAACAAGTTACACTAAAATTAGTTTTGCTAACGCTTCATGAACGGGGCCATGTTTATATATGAACTGCTTTGCATCATGTAGTCAATTTGGTATATAAATAGGTGCCATGTAGTGCCAAAAGAGGCTCTCCTATGATTGCGAGCCAAAGAACCACTGTTGGCTGATGGGCTACTGTGACAAAGGTGCTGTATAGTGCTATTTAGCACCATTTTGGTTTATGAGTGTACCATCACAACCAGTTACATTTTAAGCATTTTCATTTACAAGAAATCAAAATACAGTTTGTAGCAAATCAGACAGAACACAAAACCCATAATGTGCGATATGACAGGCGGTCATATAAACTCTGATCTCAAAGATAATAAACTTAAAACTAAATAAACTTAGGGATATAAACTGTATTAGGCTATTTAAACTACAACAAGTAAAGTTTAACATCTGTACTGTATATTTATATGACATGTGCCTAAAGTCATAATATGTACTTAATTACATTTTTTCTTCACGCTGTGTAATGAACTTAAAAGATCTCACCTGTGACCAGTTTTTTGGCGTCTGTTGTGCTCAAGTAAACCGAGAGACACAACAAAACCGCAATCAACGAGCAGCACACCTGAGCTTTCATCCTCGCGACCTGTGGAAAACAGTGGAAAATGTGCTGAATCGGATGGTCAGGAGGGTTTTTAAAGCGGTCAGATGCACCTCCAACCCTGAAACTCACCTGCCTGTAGGCAAGTAGCCTAATCTTGAAGACCCTGATTAGCGTGTTCAGGTGTGTTTAGGTGTGTTCATGGCATATCGTAATTATCGTGATTTCAAGATAACAACCTGTAAAACTCGTCATGGCCTTACGGACTTACCATTGGGCTTGACTGGGCTGCAGCCCATGGGCCCCGCCTGAACCCGTTTATGTTTGTTTGATTTCTTCAGTTATGCCGGTCAAAAATTTTAGCCGCATTTCAACTGCGCACACGAGTTAAACGGGCCAGCCGGGGTACTAGCTACTTTAAAAAGCTATATAGCCTGAAGAGTTTTGAGTGCTCTCTCTCGTAGTGGGGCAGAAATGTCATCAAGATGATAAAAAAAAAGCCATTTAATGAATTTCTATTTTTGTAACATATGCCTTTGAAACAGGAGTCACACAAACAAGAGTCTGTTTTTCTGTGAATATCTGCACAATCGCAAATGTACAAGTTACTGAATAACTTTATTATTATTATTTCATTTTTGCAATCATGTATTATTTATACATTACAATGTTATATTTAAACTTAACAACTTAAGCGAAAACCATCCATGGATTTTGTTGATAGTGATATCGTTTGACTGTTGATAGCCAACGTGTCTTTTTTTATTCGGATTGAATTTATTTAATTTAAGAATGTGACATAAATGGACACAGATGTGACAATAATTTTTTTTATAATACTAACACATATCTGGCTTTTTAAAATCTGTGTTATTTTAGGGGTTTGATCTCTCAACTGAGAGAACACATGCTGTTTATCTTATTACAATATCACAACAACATATTAATTGTACTAAAACCTCAAAGCATATTAAAATTTTTGTGTAGTTTATTTTACTCCATAATGATGTTCTTATTGAGGGCATTTCTATTGCATAGGTAGGGCCCAAACATAACCTCAAGCCCAGGGGCCCCGGCACCCTAAGTCCTGCCCTGGAACTCGTTACTTGTGAACTGGGAGTTTTCTGAGAGCTTCAACTTGTACTACCTGACCACCCCAGATTCATTAAACGATATGTTTATGCATTTATAGTGCGATAGTTCCGAATCCGAGTCCAAGGATGTGAACAGCTCCAAGTAGAACGTCACGTGTTGTCATCTTGAAATCACAGTGACTACGACATGCCGTGAATGCAGCTTTTGATTACAGGTTTGGCGGAGTGGACTTCTGGAATCAATTCGGTAGACTCCATTTAATTTTGGTCAATATCAAGGTTTTCATAGTGGTGTTTATGACACTTTATATAGATGAGCATATAGTTCAATCCATAAAGCTATTGCTGTCTGATTTAATTTGTATATGCAGTATTTTTTTACTGTGCCTATTGAAAAGTTTGACTGTAGAATGTTTTCTAAAAAGTTCGGTATGCTATTTATTATTTATCTGTATATAATCCTGTTGAAACAAGTTGGTCTTGTGGAGGCAGGTCTTGGGTATTAGAGTCATGGACTGAAAATAGGCCCCATTCTGGCCCTGTTTCAAAGTGTAAGGTATTTTCCTGATAAAATAACTTCATAATTTCTTTATGTGCTGGAATGTCAAAATTCCTAAAAATGTCAAAATTCCTGCTTGCCAAATATTCACGTAAACAAGGTGGTTCCAGTGGTGCAATTCCTGGGGCGGGGGAAGTGAATAAAAAAAAATTAGAAAAATTCTCTCTTCAGCTTAATGCTTTATTTTTGACTATACAATCTCTAATCC